TCCTTTGGAATCTCAATGACCCAGATCTCTTTAAAAGTACTATTTTGTTCCTCTGGAAAAGGTACATTGTTTGAAACCTCGTCTACCACTTAGCAGCTAGCAGTTTTAGACACGTCATTAGCAGTTTTAGACACGTCATTTAATCTAATAACCTTGGTCTTACCTTTAAAATGACAATTATATCTTGCAGAGCTGTAAGCTTTCAGGGTAACGAACATAAAACATCAGCACGAGCTCAATAAATGGGACTGTTATTATCAAAAGTGTACATGAGGCTAAACAATACATTATGACCCTTCAGGAGAGAGCATCTTGCTCTCGGGCCTGCCTGCCAAATGCTCTATCCGCTCCGGGGCCCCACCCAGAAAGTCTTCGGCTCTTCTTTACTATCTGTCTCTACCTATTTTGGGCTACCTGGAATTCTACTCAAATTTCCTCTTCTCTCATCCCAATACAATGTCATATAGATAATCCTCACCAAGTAGGAACTCAGGAAACAGGGTTATCACCAGCAAAATCTCTACTGATTATGCACACGTAGGACCAGGAACACCTGATGGGTGAGTGAAGGCAGAATGGCAGGCTTAGCTCTTTATGGGTAGGGAGAGGGAAGAAAGGGACAGGGTGGCTGAGGGGCACCCTTTCAACTCCTGTACGTGGCCCACATCTGGTGGAGGGCATCCACGGAACACTTAAGCAAGTGTGATCCAATCGAATTTGTATCCAGACTAACTCTGACCGCCAAGAGGGAAACCTAAGGGAGGGATATGAGACAGGATGCCACTTTCACACAAAAGCTAATGAAGATGAGAATGAAATGAGGGTGAATGTGATGCTAAGACATCTGGGGAGGAGCATGAGACCTGTCCCTTCATGGAGGTAAGGAAGAGGTGCGAGGAAGACCAGATTGGGGTGTTAACCTGGGTTTTTCTTTTTTTAAGCAGAAGAATACAAACAACTGGTTTTGGACATGGTGCTAAGGTTGAAGTGTTTTCAGAATACTCAGGGCGAGATGTCTAGGAAGCAGGTGGCTATACAAGTCGTCTGTTTCAGCCCATTTGGGAAGTGAGAAGTTGCAGGAATGGACTAGAAGACCTGAGAAAGAGCATCCCAGGGGCAGGGCTGGTAGCCTGCCTCCTGTACAATGTGAGCCACAGATACAAGTCACACACACCTGGTTTTAAATTTTCTAGAAGCCACATTTAAGAAGTAAAAAGAAACAGGTGAAAGTAATTTAACTAATAGAATTACCTCAAAACTTCCAAAAAGGAGAGCCACAAAGACCAGGGGAAAGCACTCATAAAAATATTTGGTCTTTATGGTACACAAGTAAAAAAAAAAATGTTACTCACTGTTTCTGAAGAGGAAGATGGTCTCTGTAAAGTCTCACCTTGTACCCAAATGCTCTCTGTCACAAATGCTACATGTTCTGCTTCAAGTATAAAAGGAGAAACAAGAAATAGGGCCCATTTGTTCAAGTCTTCAATGGACTGTGTAGAGGAAAGGAGACATAAAGAGGATTCAGTGTCACTTCAAAACACAACTGCCATGTGTCTCCTCTGCGACATCCTCCTCTGTAATCTGACGCCCTTCCATGGACCACATGAAACCTGTGTTTCTTGTTTAACTGTGACTATTCAAACAGCTGCACAAGCCCCTCTGTGGCTCATGCCAGCTTCCACATCTCTAGATCTTTACTTTCAAACAATCAGTTGTGAAACTGGGCTTATTCCCACCATTCCTAGACTTATTGTGCAGGAGCTCTCCAAATACAAGTTGGTCGCACGCTGAAAGGGAATGAGGCCAGCCAGGTGTGGAGGGCACCTGTCATCCCAGCTCCTTGGGAGTCTGAGGGAAGAGAATTGTTTGAACCAAAGAGTTTGATGTTGCTGTGAGATATGACGCCACAGCACTCTACAGAGGGCGACAAAGTGAGACTCTGTCTCAAAAAAATAAAAAATAAAACTAAAGGGAATGAGGACAGGCAGTATGCCCACCTACAACCATCTCAGGGCTGTTCCCTCATTCCTGCAGCCATCACAGCAGGGGGCTAAGGCAATTTGTGCCCACATCCTCCTTACTGAGATGTGAGACATTGCCAGACTCCAGATTTTCTTAAAATAGTATTTATTTCTATTTCATAAAATAGACCGTATTTTGCTATGTACAATGTGCACTTTTTTGCCTAATTTTTGAAGGAGAAATAAGGATGCATATTATACATGGGTAGCACAGCTCAGGAGCAGCAGGGCGCAGCAGGGCGCAGCAGGGCCCAGCAGGCCTCCCATGGCTGCCATGCCTCCCATCTGGGCCCACTCGGTGCACAAGGACCCAGGATCTGGTGGGAGTGGGCCAGAGTAGCCTCTACTGAACACTGCAATCAGGAGAGGGGGCAGTGGCAGGGCCAGAAAAGTGGGGTGCAACCATAAGGGGCCAGGGCCAAGGCCAAAGGCCCGGCTGTGTGGAGGCAACCAGGTGCCCTGTGCAAACCCCCAGGACCCATTTGGCTGCCCGAGGGCCAAGTGGTTTCAGAAGCTCCTGCCCTGGTAGCCACAAGAATGGCCATCTTGGTCATAGCCTCCAACGTGGCAGAGAGGGAAGAACTCCCAGGAGAGAGGAAAGGGGCAGCCTTCACAAAGCAGGTGGTGGTGGGAAAGTGGTGTGATGTGTACGTTTACCAGGGGAGCATTACTCCACCCCAGATGTCTTTTGAGGGGTGTTTTCCAGAAAGTTTAGACAAAAAAGATGGGTGAACATTATACACAGGAGTACGTTATAAATGGTAAAATACAGTAAACTATTTCAGGGAAAAGCCATTTGTGATATGCAGAAAAGACATGTTTTAATGGGAAGGTAAACTCCAATCGAGTGATTTTTTAAAAAAAAAGAGTGATTTAGTTTTTTTAAAAGCAGATTAAAATCAAGATTGGTTGGCAGATCAAATATATCCATGAATCTCTCTTCTCCTTCCTGAAATCTCTCTAAAAAAAAAAAAAATAAAACAGCAAATTGGTTTTAAAAGACTATAACTCGTCAAAACCAAGGTACACCCAGAGCAGAAAAAGCTAAAACCTAAGGCTGGGGTA